AGGAGAAACTAACCTCACCTATACCTTGATCTTGGACTTCCAGCCTCCGGAACTGTGAAGAAAATTAATTTCTATTGTTTAAGCTCCCCAATCTGTGGTACTTTGTTTAGGGTAGCCCCAGCAAACTAATATGGAGTCCTAGTGGGTCACTAAATAACTACAGAATGTACTGGGTGTTAAAATAGTGTTCTGAGATATATAATGCAAATATTTTAGCAGAAATACTGCTATGCTCTAAACACACGTGTTTCATCCATATTTGGAATCCATGTTAAAAGAAAAATAAAGTGAAACAGAAGGCAACCCAGGCATATAAAATGGAACCTTAGGAAGAGAAGCTAAAAGGCTATTTGATACACAAATAAGATTTGATTTGGCCATTGTTTCATAGCTCTGGCACTGGAAACTGGTTTCAGATGTTTCTTCCTCCTACAGAGAGAATCTGAGGTAAGAAGCAAATGTAAGTCCAAAGAAAAGAAAATTAAATAAAACATAAAGAAACATTTCCTGACAAAAGTAATTTTTTAATTTAATTTAAATTTTAAAATTTAAAAGACAATATTGCTATGTTTTATATGGATACATTATGAAAATCATACTTTGAAGGGCCTTTTAAATATCTAGTAAGCAACACTTTTCCTGAGTGCTTTGGTTACAAGGGGCTACACTGATTATTCTTTTGAAAGCCCACAAATCTGTTACGCAGAACTAAGTTTCTCCCTGCCAGAGGGCACATCAGTTCCACAGAGAGTCTTGCACAGTGGGCCCTGGGTGCATAATGAGATTCACAGATCTGAGCCTGAGACTCCTGCTCCCCAGGTCACACCAGCCTATATGACAAACAAAAATTGCTTTTTGCCTTTTTTTTCTAATTTTAACCAGTAAATGTGGCGATGCCAATACAGCTGTGGAAACGCAGGCTGTGCCCTATTGTGCCTTATGCATCACCAAGAAATTTGCCAGCTCAGTTCTGATTCCAAAGTCTTTACTGTGATGATGCAGTGAATAAAAGACACAGCATGATTTTCAAATGCTGGGCAGGGCCAGTAGTGGGGGGCCAACTGGAAAAAAAAAACACAAAACTGTTTTGAGCCATTTTATTGTTACCGGAAGAAAATACACATAAACTATCAGGCATATGCAATATCCTAATATACGTTCACTAAGCTTTCAGAGTCTTAGCATCTTAGGGGATCTTAAATCTCATTTAGTACAATCTCTCACACAACAAGAAAATCTTTTCCTAAGCATCTATGACTGTTTCTTAATGAGTTCTTCCAAAATTGGGAGAAATTGCTACTTCTAAACTAGGCTTTTCACTACACAAAATAAATAAATAAATAAACTTTTACTAGAGTTTCTTTATATTGGGACAAAATCTGCCTCTTCAGACTTTGTTCCAACTGGTCCCAGTTTAGTCCCAAGGTTTAGTAGATAAAAATCAAAATTTACAAGTGTGTGCAAAAGGTTATATATGCAAAATGAGTGGCTGAAAAATGGAAACATATACAAGTTATTCAAGTAAAATGCAAATTGAATGTGCATGGTTAAATTTTTTAGATACAATGAAAACTTGTGATATGGCTGAAGTAACAAATAGATAGTAGGCTGATTATAATGTGGGTAAGTAGCTAAAGAGGGAGGGCCACTATATTAGCTTAAGAATGTTGAGCCTTGACATTAATCTGCTCAGAAGGGTTGACGTTGGTGTGGTATTGCAAGTTTCACAGCTGGTGGGGAAAGCATAGACCTTGAAGCAAGGATTTGAGAACAAGTGGTTTATTTGGGAGGTGATTCCTGAAAACATCAGTAGGGTGGTGAGGAAGAAAGAAAGGGAAGAAAAGGCAGCTAGTAAGCAACGTGTCATTACACAGATTACCACTGTGGACAGCTGGAACCAATCCCATAGAGGAACTCTGGGAAACAGTACAAAACTAATGTCGAAGAGTTATCCCACCTGAGAAGTGAGGGAGCTGGGGTATTTATACCTGGACTCCTGACAGTTGTGTAAAAATAAATGTTTTCATGGCTGATGGGAAAAGACTAGGCAGGCAGTGTCCTGGTGTGGGTTCCCTCAGAAGCAGACCTTGAGTCAAGGACTCCAGTACAACTGTTTATTTGGGAGTTGATCGAGACAGAGGCATAGGGGGACAGGGACATGAGACAGGGAAGCAGAAGCTACTCCTGGAGTGTTAACTTCCTGGCACTTCCAGCCTGCCTCTTGCATGGAGCAGAGTGGCCTTCCATAGTTCTGGCAAACCCCACAGACACAAAGGTGAAGATTCCAGCACATGGAAGTTGTCCAGAGTACATGCACACACACACAAGCCTGAAGGAAATGGGTGGGCCACTGAGAATTCCTTATAGTGGTAACTCATTACATAACTTATTTAAGTGAAGAAAGCTGATCATGTATCCAGTGTAGTAGACACACCACTGGAGTTTACAAGGCCACCCAAGATAAAAAGTCCCCTTACCAAGCAGAGAGGCCTGGGGCTGGGTTCCAGGTCCGTCCACCCCTGATGAGCTTGAAAACCTTGCATGAGCTTGGACGGGTATAAAAAGGAAACAGTGTTACCTGTCCTAGTCTCCTATACCAAGTTACGAGGATAAAATGAGATAATATATATGACAATCCTTTGAAAAGTAAAAAGTACTAAGCAAAATACAAGGTATAAAGCACAATGATGTGTGCTCATTTGAAACAAGAATTTTAGTTCATATTTTAGAGAAATTATATTTCTTTTAACTTGAGACTTTCATCAGAAAAACAATGAAAGGTAGATCATAGCACATTTAGAATTTTCTCTGGAGTCTCATTCTTTGTTGTTGTTGAAGGAAGATGGCAGCAAAATGTGTTGATGACTCTTTTCTTAGATATAATAAGCTGATGATGATTTGTGAATCCATCCCTGAGTTATTTGGAAGCCTATAATAGTGCTCCCTGATGACGATTTCATAATCATCTTTGTATCAGCGAACATAAAGCTGGATTTTCAAAAATAAACAAGGCACAGAGGATAACAAGAGTTTTCCTATTTCCTTTACTTCCCATTTTGTCCTAGATAAGGAATTTTAAGTAAAAATATTAAAGGTGGTAGAAAGAAGTAAGACTTCCTTCAGCTCCCATATCTGGGCTTTAAAGTGTGTGTTTTAAAGTCCAGGGTTCAGCCTAAATTTTGAATTTTGTTTTCCCCATATAGTTTCTAAGATAGGAATTTTCCATTCATTCTATGTATGGAACATCATAGTTGTTTCAGGGCTACTCACAAACACACTGGAAAGGATTTTATCTTTTCAACTTGTTTTTTATAACAATAGTCACAGGTGGAAATACAAATTTTTTGAGGACTTACTCTGTGCTTGGCACTGAGCTGAGCACATCACGTAGATTCTAACATTTAGTCTTCCCAACAACTTTTTGGGTTAGATACTATTTTTATCTCCATTTTACACATGAAAAAATCAAGCCATAAAACCTATTTAATGCTGCCTTCAAGAAGAATTTATGCACTTGAAAGTGACAAAGATAACTTATGGTTCAGGATTGTGTCATGCTGAAAAGTTCTTTAGGACACTCTAGTATCTCTTTGCTAAGAAGCATGGGCAAGCCAGCTTTCACTATTAAAAAATAATGACTTCAAACCTTTCTTTTAGGAAGAGTGTGGTCCTCAGTACAAAAAGGAAACACCTCTCCATCTGTGGCTCTGTAAGTTCTCTGTAATGAGTGTGAACATTCAGATAAGCTTTGTACATCCATGCATGTGGTTCTCAATGAGGGGATAAGATCAGCCAGATAGACACCTGCCATTGCTTACATTGACAAGTCCTTTGCCACTGCCCAGTGTGTTCTTCTCCCTATTTTTGAACAACCTTGATATCATCCTTCAAACATGAGAAAGCAGAGCAGTTCAAAATGCCTTGATTTTAACCTTAGAAGGCTCAAGTAGGTGAAAGGCCAATCACAAAGAAGTAACTATCACTAACAATGATGGTCAACATTTAATGAGCACCAAGTCGGCTCAAGACACAGAGTAAAGGGGCGCCTGGGTGGCTCAGTCGGTTAAGTGTCTGCCTTCGGCTCAGGTCATGATCCCATGGTCCTAGAATCGAGCCCTGTATCCATCGGGCTCCCAGCTCAGTGGACAGTCTGCTTCTCCTTCTCCCTCTGCCCTTCCCCCTTGCTCATGCTCTCTCTCTCAAAATAAATAAAATCTTAAAAAAAAAAAATAAAGACAGAGTAAAGCCCTTGACATGAGTAATCTCAGTGAAACTTCACAACACCTCCATGTAGGAGGTATTAATATTATTCCTATTTTACAAAGGAAGAAACCCAGATTTAGAGAAGTAAATTAACATATCCTGCATCTGTCTGATTTAAGAATGGAAACACTTTACCTGCAAAGATACCCATGGATGTAGGAAGACCTCATCAAATACCAAAGTCTGAGATTACCTAATTTCACTTCATGAAGAACCTGATACAGACAATATTTAAAAATCAATTTTTATTATTTCATATGGCTAGAAATAATTTAAGTAAGTTAAAAATGACTACTTGCAGTAGACCTGTACTATATAATAATTTGTCAAAGACACAAACACAAAAGCACTAATTGGTGGGATTAAAACTTAAAAGCATAAAAAACTTCTCAAGTTATTGACTTGAAAAAACACATTATATTTTGATGTGTGTGTGTGTATGTGTATAAAATGCTGAAATACTATCAATTATTTCACAATGAACATTCTTAAGGCAGGCATTCTGAATTTAGGGAACCTTCAGCTGCAGGGCCACCATTTCTGTCTACACCTGTGCACTTCTGGCTGTGCTCACAGATGAGTGCACCAGATATGATCAACCATGGAAACTATACCTTAAAGGGAACTGGAGAAGGAGACATAAAATAAGCCATCTAGTTCCATCACTCCTCAAAAGGCACAGTGGTACAGAAGGCATGGATGTAATTGTTGAAGTGTTCCTGTGATAGCCACTGTACCTTGACTTCCTTTAACGCTTAGCTCTTCCAGTGGCTGCAGAACATCATCGGGGTGTGGGATGCAGAGTCCGTGGAAGGGCCCCAGGTCAAAGCACTCATGCAGGAGCTGCATGTTCACTCTTGAGCACACACTCATGAACCCGACAGCTACACCTTCCACCTGAAACATCCAAAACATCTCGTTACTCTATCAGACCCCAAATGATTTCTCATCATGAAACTTCCAGGAGCCCACAGCATGCGGGTGGTTGGTAGCTTGGGGCAGGCACTTTGAGATATTTAAGGGAGGGAGGAATATTTTCCTTTAGAAGCTCTAGTGTCCAGCACCATGCACGGCACACACAATAAGCTCCAAAAAATGTCCAATGGATGACCACTGTGAACAATCCTAGAAGTGGATACGTAACTTAGGGAAGTTGCTAGAGTTCTAGAGGGAAAGAACATGTGTCCTCTTTGCCCAGACCTGCCCCATATCCTTTAATTATCCCATGGGAAGGCCAGCCTTCCTGTCCACTTTCTTCCCCTCCACCATGCAGTCTCAGTAAGACCAGCTGGCATTCCATCCGATTGACCCTGGATTCAGAGATGTTCATGGTCACCTACTCTTTCAGATTGGAACTTTGATTTTCTTGAATTCATTCATTTATTTGATTGGATGGTCTTATGGGGAAGAGATGTGAGCAAAGAGGTTTGGTGGGGATGTTTGAGTGAAGTAAACTCGCAACACTGGTTCACCATGTGGGTCTGATTTACAAATACGTCACCTCCTAGCATCCGAACAGATACCTGGTTCTGAACCTCTTACAACAGTCCCATTAATTTAGGCCTCTGATGAGGAATACACAAGTGGGAAGATAAGTGGGACAGTTTGATGTAATAAGAAATACATGTTTGGTCTTCATCCCTGGTTCCTAAAACACTTGTAATTTCCTGAGAGGAACATCTTTTGTTTTTCCTAATAAGCTCCTTTGGGTAATACCTATGTTTATGCTAACGAGATGACTCCCGGAGAATGGGAGCTGATTGTCAGGGAAACCAAACATGTGATTGATTAGAGGGTTGGAACTTTTGGCACCTCCCCCTGACCTCTGGAGAGGGGGGAGGGGCTTGAGATTGACTTCAGTCACCAGTAGCCAATGATATAATGAATCATTAATGGAACCACCATAAAATCCCCTCAACAAGGGGAATCAGGAGTTTCTGGATTGGTGAACACATGGAAATGCTGGGAGGAAACATGCCCAGAGAGGACACGGAAGCTCAGGGCCCTTTGCCCTGCACCTCGCTGTATGCATCCTTTCCATGTAGCTGTTCCTGAGTTGTAGTCTTTATAATAAGCAGGCAGTAGTAAGTCAAGTGTTTCCCTGAGTTCTGTAAGCCATTCTAACAAATTATCAACCCCTAAGGAGGGGGCTGTGGGAACCTGATTCATAGCCAGTCAGTTAGAAGTACAAGTGACAACCTGGGACTTATGACTGGCACCTGAAGTGGGGGCAGTTTTGGGGGCCTGAGCCCTTACCCTGCGAGATCCACACTAACTCCAGGTAGCATCAGCACTGAATCACAGGACACCCAGTTCGTATCTAGGGAGCTGAAAATTTGGTTGGTGTAAGCAAAACCCTACACATTTGGTGTCAGAAGTGTCAGAATTCGAGAAAACAAGTTATCTTCTAATGAGTAATTAGCCCATCTACACCTATTATTGGTAGTGATACAAATGAACAAAATTGAACTCTGTCATAGTCCACACTGATAGATATCTATGATTGAAATTCTTTATGATGTCCCTTCAATAATTCTGTATGTCATTCTTCCCTGCAAGGAAAGCATTTAAAATTTTAAAAGAGAGCAAGAAAGAATGCATAGTTCTGTAATTAACTAATCTTCTTGTGGTAATTATTGTGCAATATATATATACTTGTGTGTGTATATATATATAAAATATATATCATATGTATGTATATACATATCATATATATATCAAATCGCTACATTGTAAACCTTAAACTTATACAATGTTATACAATTATATTTCACTAAAATTAGAAAAGAGAGAAAACTAAATTGTACATAAATAATTCCTCCTGTTAATTATAACTTGGGTTTTAAGCAAATTCTGGTTGACTGATTTGACTGCAGCTCCTGTTAGAAACCAGCTTTACTAGGTCCTACTCAAGTGTTCACGCTGTATTTCTTGAGACAACCATCCTGTACAGGAAGCAAAAGAACTCATCATTGGCATTTCCTAGTCCCAAGAATGCAGTAGCATCCCATAAATGTCAGTCAGAGAAAATGGTTAATATTTGAACTTACTGAAGCACAAAATTAAGCTACAACAATACTCAGTCTTTTATATGACACATAGAAAAATTAGGCATTAAAGTATTTATTCTCAAATGTGTTTTCTAGTAGAAAGTCATTTGTTTTCAAACATGTGTTTGAAAAATAAATGTGAGACTCCCTTTGTTTTCTCCCTAATGCTAGAATACAAGAGGAATTCTTAAAAATTAATTTTTCCATGCGTACTCTTTACAGTCCCCCACCCCCACCCCACAATGATACTAGCTGTACAAGGCTGGATTTACACAGCTGTTTTATAAAGCCATCGACACTTTAATAAAAGTCCAAAACAAACATTTTAATTTTTTTCCCAAATAACAAGTGATTGTTTGTCTTGTTTGCACTCATGAACAAAGGCTGCGTAGCCACAGTTGTCTGGCTTCTCTGTAATTTTAGGCCCAAGACTCAGCAGACGCTGATTAACCAATCCATCTACCATATGTGCAGAAAGAGACGGCCAGCCTCACTCTCGGCAGGGAAAATTGGCATCCATCTTGGTTCACATGGAGATGTCCTTCTAATCTACAGCCACGCTGGCGCAACGAAACTTCGATGGCCTGAAATACCTTTTGCTGGCTTCACGGCGAGCTGCATGTGCATGATAAGAATGTATTATTTATAAGACCGCTGTTAGTAATGAGCTATTACACTAATGGCTCATTGTGTTTGGAATTTGATTTCAAATGGCATGGATCACACATTCTGATGAAAATGAGAAAAAACATGTTTTGCCATTAGGAACAAAGATGTAACATTCTCCAATTCCACAACCTGTTATATTCCCGTCATTCATCCTCGGTTGTGACAATTCACAAAAGTTCACAATTATGAACTGCAACAGAGCAAGGACATATTGTGGAAATGTCTGCTTTTTCCTTTGAGTTTCTTTTAAATAACTATTCTGATTTGAGAAACACCATTCTGAAATATGAATTTGTGGGAGTATTCAAATTCAAATCTTTGTGTGTGTGTATGTTTTCTGGAAAAATAGATTCAGTGAACTTCCTTTACTTGAACAATGAAAAGGCATTGATTGTTGACTGCTATCTATCCTCTAGGCAACAGAGATAACTTTCCACCACAAAGTTCTGCTTATTGTTCTTGTTTTTCCTGTGAGGATATATATTAGGATACATAAAGCTCTGGTTGCTAGAAATCCCTACATGCAGTGGCCTTGTCTTCAAACACAGGCCCATTTAGAGACATGTGTGCACTGTATCATTCGTGCTTCCTTCTAAAAAGCCCTACAGTCACTCATCCCTTTTGGGTGACCATACTCCATAATGAGGGTGCCCTTACTGTGACCACTGCCAGCTTTGATCCCCTCTGCCTCATGCCAACAGCAGGGCTGAGTTGGCAGGCTCTGCCCACCCGCAGGTCAGTGGTGCCTGTTCTGACCACTGCTGCCCATGCTGTGGATGATGCCAAAGCAGACGCTCTGCCCATCTGTCTCTAGGAGCCGCCCTTGGCCTCCAACCACCCTTCCCCAAAATCTCAGTTTGGAGTAAACACCAGATGTCAAGGTAAGCCAGGATAAAGTTATGAAAAGCAACTTGCGCAGCAAAGTGATGACTCAAAACTCCTCCCAAGTAGCTATCAAGCCAAAGAAAGCCTGCACAGTTAAAAACCTTTAACTAGTCAAGAGTTTCCTACTTGGCACAGGCATAGATCCCAGGCTTTCTATGTGCATGGCCTGTAACTACCATGGGCTGCTGTGGGAAGAGACAGATTTGATGCACTCTGTTCTGTGATCTCTGGTCAACTGCAGTCACCTGTAAGCATGGTGTGTTGCCAGTAAATGCTTAATCAGCAACCGGGGTGGGGAAAACCCTGATTTAGCAATTTGCCAATCTCTGTGGTGTAAATATTCCCACTGTGGCCAATTTTAAGCTACCAATGTGATGTTACTGAATGGGGAGTTGGGAAGGGATGCCCAGTAGCCACTATTATATAGTATTTCCACTAGAGAGACGATAGACATAAATAATCTCAAGAGCGAAGATAATAATAAAATAATTAGGAAGTGATGAGTGTTGAGCATTAACTTTGTTTTCTAGTGTGACTGCACTGCAAGTTTATATAATTTAATTTTTAATAATGGCTGTGTTTAACAACCAGCTTGCAAAGTTCCTGAGGATTGAACACTTGGTTCTTGTGAGGCAGAATGAACTAGTTCCCGCATACCACTGTCTACAGGGCCAGCCGAAGAACGTCCAGGTGGTTGGTAGAAGGGTCCGGGAGGCAGGTGGGAGGGGAGTGACAGCACTGATCTTGAACATAAAAGGCTTAAGGCACCAGATACAGCTCAGTAGAAACTGGAGATGTGCTCCCAAGTCCTGGACTGGCTTCCTCCCTGTTAAGGGGGTCCTGCTTCTGCCCTTCCATTTAAAGATTGAGGTCTACGGTCGCTTCTCCACAGAATGTGAAGCGTCTGGTGTCTAGGTAACATGGCCTCTCAGAAACTGGGCTGGGCTCCATTTGCCTCTTTAGAGACACCGAAGGATCCTTGCAGGGTTGGGACTGCAATTTTCAGCCTGCAAATTTCCTCCGATGTTACATGCACTGAAAAATGTGTAACATGTGACTAGAGAGGAAAATACGTGGAGGTAGTCACTGCAGCTGCTCTTCATAAGCACTAACACAAGTGATTTGGGTTGAAACTGGCACCTTAAAAACAAAGAATTAAAAGCATTCTCCAGAGTGACATCAGCTTCATGGCGGCATAAAGATGTCCATCATTGTTGTCCCCGAGCTCAACAGCAAACATTCAGCATCCAGCCATGAACAAAAAGGCCTCTGAGGGAGCTGTGGCATCCAGTACCATATGCCAAGGGACCTGGAAGAGTTTTGCCAACTGTGCATGAGGAAATAGGCAGACACACCTCGGTCTTGACTATGAACCCTAAAGAGGACTGGGTCCAGCTTGTCTTGGCCATGGTCCAGAAGCCCTTGGAGAATATGGACTTAGATAATCATTTACAGAGGAGAGAGTCTTTGTAAAAAGTACAGTTTCCAGAGAAGTTCTAGGACTCCATTGGAGCAAAAAAAGTATGAGCTTGGATGCACTGAAGTGAATGAGAGGAACAGTCTGGCTTTACCCATCTCACCCACCCCCCAGTGAGGCACAGCTTAGGGCAAGATTTCTTGGCCCATGATTTATCCAATGGGGAAAAGGGAGAATGTGTGAGTGAGCACCCAGCTTCCCCACCTGTGAGGGATTCTTCCAAAGAGGTCCATTTCTTTTATACCTCATCCATAGTACTTAATTTGGAGCTCTATGACTTGGGGAGCAGAAAGAGTCTAGGAAAAGCAGCGAATAGTACTCTGGGAGGGCAATAAAGGGACCTGATTCCTAACTGCATTGTGGATTGCATCAGGAAGCCTGCCCACAAACTGCTGGGAATATCTTGCCCATGAAACCCTTCAACTGGCCC